GAGGTATTGCTAAGACCTCACCTAAGCTTACGGCTTGTGCAGGACAAGTAGTTAAGAGCGGTTTGACTGCACAGACGGGTGCCTCTGCTCCTCCCCCACTGCCCTCTGCTCCAGAGACTTCCTTCCACCTCTCACCAGGACAGCCAATCCGCAGCCCCTCCGCCTTCACTCAAGACGCCGAGCACTTCTTTCCTCTGTGTGAGTGCCAGGATCTGAACGCGGACCCCGAGCCCTGCCCTGTCGGCCTCCCTTCGCCCCGAGCCTACCAGCAGCACACCAGCACTGCTCTGTTTCCTCAACTCCTCTTCTAAGGCAAAAGCCCCACTTGAGGAAGTCGGGCCCCCGTTACCCCAGTGCCAAACACTCTCCGGCGGAGCCGCTGTTTGGCAGCCTCGTGTCCCCAGATACCTAGCAATAGCAGGGACCCTGAACCTTTTCTTCTCTTTTCAGAGTCCAGTCCTTCATTTTCAAGAGATGATCTCAGCTCCTCCATCACAGAAGAGATTCCCTGGGGTCATCTAGGGTGACAGTACGTCTCCAATATGTCTCCTCCTCAGCCTATAAATATAGCAAGATCACTCCTCCCCTGTTCAGGCCAACTCTGCCCTGAACGGCATTTCCCGTGGTCTCTAGGGGACGGGAAACAGTCTAATGTAAAGAAAATACAGAGACTCCTCCATAACCCAGGAGGAAAGACCAGACCAGAAATTTAGGCGGCCTCTAAGCGGTTTTAGTTTTAGTCGTTGCAGGTTCCTTGAACACACTAATAACTGCCACTTAAGCTCATGACGCATACGGACACGAGAATTCTGACCGCGCCACCACGTTTCAGAACTGCCTTTCCTGACGTGCACAGAAGAGAGTCTTTTTAGCCTTTAATCGTTTCGAATGCTTTTGAAACATTATTCAGATAATCGTGTGAGTCATAAGACAGTAAGTACCAAGTTTTCAAAAAAGTGCACACTGCAAAAAAATTTCAGGAATCACACATACTTGGAGCGCCTGGATGGCTCGGTCGGTCGAGTGTCTGGCTCTTGATTTCAGCTCAGGTCGTGATCCCAGGATCGTGGGATCAAGCCCCAGGCTGGGCTCTGTGCTGAGTATGGAACCTGCTTAAGACTCTTTTCTCCCTCTCCCCTGCCCCTCTTCCCCACTCGTGCTCGGTCTCTCACTCTTAAAAAAAAGAAAAAAAAAAAAAACCCGCACATATTTGATGTCTTAATGGTGCTAAAACGTATCATTTTCTAATGCAGGGGAAAAACAAGCGATTCTGGCAGGTCTGAAAGAGTCACCCACGGTACACAAGTCATCCACTCAGACGAACTACACAGCAGAAAAGTCTGCCCCCTGCTTCCTGTGCGTCGGAATGACGTTCCCTGGACTCCTCCTTCAACAACGCTGTCCCAGAAAACTGCTCCCCGAGCTGCCTTCCTCGCCTACTGCTCTCTCTCCTGCAAAGAGCCCTGACGGCCCCTCCGCGACTCCACAGCCCGAACGGACCCCAGTCCTCACCTGCACGACGACGGACACGAGGCTGCCAGCTGGCGAGGATCCACCAAGAGACAGGACAAAGTGAGCTTTCTTCTGACTCCTCACCAGAGCGCTCACGCGAACCAGCTTCCCGGCCAGGTTTGGCTGCACGCCTCTGAGCTTGCCTCTAAAGAAGGAAGAAAGAGGAGAGGGAGAAGTCCTTTCCATTTCTTTTTCCCTGTAGATACCTTCCCTTCCGCCATAAATAACCTAGTGGTGATTTAAAATTGCCAAAGCGATCATTCCCAAGACTCCCTTCAAACTCTTCCTGACCTTAGATGAGGCAAACTTCACTTGAAGACACCCACTCCTGATACCCAGAGAGGCCCCATCGCCCCCCTCATCTGGAACACTCCACCCGTCCTGCTCCCAGAACCTTTCTCCCCTCCTCCCACCAGCCCACCCCCTCCTCCCAGCTGCATGGCGCTCTGTCCTCCCCCCGACAGGGAAGGACTACCTGTGCCTGAGCAGGCGGGACGCGGTCTCTGGATAGAGAACAGAGAGAGGGCTGAGGGAGCTCGGACTGCTGGTCAGGGGGAGCACTGGCACCGGAGCACTCAAGAGCTCCAAGTGTCCTTCCCCTGAAGAACTCCACCTGGGAGGAGGGAGGTAGCTCCAACTGGGGAACAGAAAGAGATGGCCCAACCAAGAAAGGTCCAGATCTATGAGCTAGAAAAAACCAAGAGCAAGGGTTAGCCAGGACCCTAGCGTCCCATCCACCCTTCTCCACCTTTCTTCCCTCAGAGACTTAATTTCCTTGGTCCCTAGATACCATTCTTATTAGGATCTGAGCATCCGACCTTCACCTTCCTACTCACCTCACAGCCCAGGACACCAGTGTTATCTTTCACATAGAGGTCTCCTTTCCTGCACTCTTGTTCCAAGTCCCCTGACAGGTCTGTTAGTGTCCCTAAGAGTAACAGCCGCTCCCGGGGTAGGGGAGTCCCACTTGGTCCAGCCTCTTGGGCCCAAGCCTGGTATGCATTACTGCTCCAGGACAGGTGGCTGCAGCATGGGAGGTTTTGGTGGGTCTTGAGGTCCTGTACTGAGACAAAGCTGCAGAGGGAAGGGAGCAGAGGTCCTGCAAAGCCATATCCAAGCCTAGAAAATTATCCTTAACCCCAACAAATCCCCCCACTTCCCAAAGAAAAGTCAACAGAAAACATGGACGAAGAGAGGAGTTTGACTCAAGGGCAAAGGCCCCAAGGGCGGGGACGCTCAGTTGGTTGAGCATCGGATTTTTGATTTCGGCTCAGGTCATGATCCTGGGGTTGTGGGATCGAGCCCTGAGTCAGGCTCCATGTTGAGCATGGAGTCTGCTTAGGATTCTCTCTCCCTCCCTGTACTCCTCTCCTCAGCTCACTCACTCTCTCTCTAAAATTAAAAACAACCAAGGGGCACTTGGGCGGCTCAGTCCATTAAGCATCTGATTCAGTTCAGGTCATGATCTCACAGTTCATGAGTTTGAGCCCCATGTCGGGCTCTGTGCAGACAGCTCAGAGCCTGGAGCCTGCTTCGGATTCTGTGTCTCCCTCTCTCTCTTGCCCCACCCCTGCTCAGGCTCTGTCTTTCTCTGTCTCAAAAATAAACATTAAAAACAAACAACAAAAAAGCCTTAGGGCTAAGAGCCTAAGGACGTGAGGATGGGGTCTAGGCCCAAAGACTAGGTAGTAAGGCAGGCAGGAAGAAAGTCGGTGCTGAGTGACATTTTGAACAAGACAGGGGACCCAGAAACACAAAGGAGTAAAAGAACAGCCCGAGGGCAGGAGTGTGGAGATAACACTGGCCACACTCAGCTCCCCTGATGGCTTCTGGGCTCTTAGCTCCGCAGAGAACTCCAGTGCAGCCACCATGGCCTGTGCCTGATGGCTCGACCTCAGTGGCCCCGGCCAGGCTTCCTTCCTGGTCTGGGAGATCACAGAACTCTCGACTGGCGGGGAAGCAGAGGCTGAGACGGGAGTCGCTTTCAAGAGCTCCCCGATCTCAGAAGATGCTTAGGATCAGCCGTTCCCAAGGCAAGTGCTGCAACACCGCCCACCACTATCCATGACGAGGCGGAGCGTGGATAACGTGGTAACAGGCAAGCTTATCACGGTCAGGACAGATTCACACCTGTAATCTCGTGACTGCAAACACTGGCATGCTCACCATCTTCTGAGCAGAAAGAAGAGAAAGGATAAAGATACAGAACGTCGTAACTCACCCTCCTCTGTATCACGAACATGACCCCCGTGTGGGTACCAACAGCGGGGAACGCTGTCCCAGATGGCCCACTCCCCTTCCACACCTGCTTCCTTCTCTCCCACACGGATGTGCACAGCATAAAAGACAAAGATGGTAACTAGTATGTGTCGAGCCCCTGTTACGTACACACGATACTGGGCCTGTTCCCGCTCAGTGATTCACTGAAGCTTCACCCCAAATCACTGTAAACATTACCAGCGAGGAAACTTTGAGAAGTCAGGAACCCAGGGGTGTAGGTGGCAAAGCCAAGGGTGCCTCGCTCAAAAGCCCATGTTCTTTTCCTGTTTCTCTACTGCTCTAACGGCCCGGGACAAAGCAAGTGGAGACACCTTCAGGACAGAAAACAGTAAGGACAGGGGTCACTCTCCCCAGACTCTTCAGGGTCTAGGTCAGGAAACTGAAGGTGAGAACCTCAAATCCTTGCATCTGTCACTGCTCTCCAACTTTCACTGCCTAACATACTGCCTGGCACACTGCAGGCACGTGACCAAGGAGAAAGGAAAAAGATGATTAAAATCTTTGAACCTGTCAAACAATTCCTGTTTGATCCCCACCCACCGTTCTTTACAGACTCACTTCTACGTACCCTGCCATCGACTTTCCGTTTATCTTGAAAACAACAAGAAACTTCAAAAAGCTTCCAACTTTCCTAACAATTCCTGACTTCCCGCTTCTCCATTGTTCTAGCGACGCCAGAATCTGGAGAGATTCGGATCTCTTTCGTCTTAGACTGATCACAGAGGCCACGAGGCGCATACTCGGCTCACCTGCGGGAGACTCTACGCCACTGCCAGAGGCTGCACAACCTCCTCTACTAGGACTAATCAGTAAGTAGTTCTCTGTCCCAGGGCCCTTCCCATGTTAGCAGGACAGTTTTCTCCTGAGACTTCATCCTGTGTTTACATAAACAACGTATTTAACCTTAATAGTTACGGACGTGGACGAGAACTGTAGGAAAAGATGGGAAACCAGAGACCCATGGATTAGGATGAGAAGAGTTACACAGGAAGAAAAGTGCCCCCAGGCAAGTGTGTCCTGAGAAATTACTTTGGGATTCAAATAAGACATCATTTCATACCCATCAAAGAGGCAAAAAAACCCATTTTTTTAAACAAACCCCAGATTTGGAAAAGGTTCCGGATGTAGACGTATACCGCTACGTGTATCCGCTGGTACAACTCCACCCACGGGAAAGCAACGTGCAAACGGCTAGTGAGGCCACTGTGTGCACACCCGCGGAGCCTGCACTCCCCTTCAGGACAGTGGGTGCTGCTGGAGAAGGGCAGGGAACCGGATCAGGGTAGAGCGCTTAGGAGACTCCACCGAATCTGTCACGCTTCACTTCTCACAAAGAAGAACTGAGGGGCGCCTGGGTGGCTCAGATCATGATCTTGGGGTTCGTGAGTTCGAGCCCCAGATCACGCTCTGCAACGACAGCGTGGAGCCTGCTTGAGATTCTCTCTCTCCGTCTCTCTCTGCCCCTCTCCTGCTCATTCTCTCTCACGCTCTCTCAGAATAAATAAACTTGAAAAAATAAAAATAACAAAGAACTGGAGCCAACACGGCAAACGTGAAGGTTTTCAAAAGGTGAGCAGGAGTACTGACTGTATGATGCAGCAAGCTCACTGCTTCATCGGAGGACTTCCACACGCAGCACCTTCTCAACGAAAGAAGCAGTGCATTGATTTACATTCTGGCGGACCAGCATGCGTAGTTACCATCGGCTTATAACAAATCCACGGCTGAGAAAACAATTCAGAATTCTGAAAATGACGTTTCGGATAACAAAGTACAGTTAAGCTGTCTTCTCACCAAAGATCCCTCGCCTTTGCGGAGACAGAGCACAGGGCCGAGTGACGTCAAACGGCCATAAGCAGGGTCAGCCCAGGGAAAAACTATCCTACGCTCGAGTAAGTTTGGGAGATGCCTAATTAAACAAAGCTAAACAGATCTGCACCTTTTTTATTTTTTAGAGGACAGTGATACGTATATTCACATCATAACAGAATACCATGCAGCAGTAAAAGAGATGAGCTAGAGCCATCATTAGGAGTGAATCTCACGAGCACGAGGCACAAAAAGCAAATTGCAGAGGAAGGTATGGTGCCATTTATATAAAAGCAAAAAGTATGCAAACTCTACAGTATACTGCTTAGGGACAGACACATGTGCAATAAAAACATACTGGGTGGCTCGGTAGATTGAGCGTCTGACTTCAGCTCAGGTCATGATCTCACGGTTCGTAGGTTCAAGCCCCACAACGGGCTCTGTGCTGGCAGCATGGAGCCAGCTTCAGATCCTCTGTCTCCCTCTCCCTCTTTGCCCCTACCCTGCACATGAGTGTGCACGCACACGCTCTCTCTAAAATAGACCTGAGAAAACATATAGACGTACGTATATGTAGAATGCGTATACATTTATATAGAAATAAAAACACAGGAATTAACACACCCCATATTTGAGATAGTGGTTCCTTCCGTGAGGAAGTAATTGAATTTCTTTTCACAGGCCTTTCAGAGCCTTTAATACGTTAATGAGCCTTGCGACTTTCCCAGAGAAGGTTATCACATGTTCAGTGTCTCTTAAACTCATTTAGCCATGGAACCCTTTTCTTGTGGTAACTTATTAACACTGCCTTGAACAGTTTAAGAAACACAAGCGTTGTAAAAAAACAAAAACTAAATACCTTCAGAAGACTTTAAACTCCAGTTTCAAACACAACTAATCTGCACTTGCTGACGTCTTAATGCTCCATACCTTAGTTTCCTAATACACAAAAGAATATCAACCTCTCCACCTTGGGGGTCCTTTTTCCAAATTTTCTGTCTTTCCGTCTTCCTCCCTCTTCTCCTTATCCCTAACAAGACTGATGTCCCTTGACATCAGTCAATTAAGGAGAACCACAGGTAAGGAAAGCAGCGTAATGGAGGCTGGAGGAACCCAGCAGAAGGGGCTCGATAGACCTTTTCCTCCTGGTAGCACAGCTTCCCCTCAGGCTTGTCATTTTCCCCTTAACTACAGGTCATTCCGTTTCAGTCCCAAAGTTAACTTCCTCTCTTAGAGAGCCCGCCTCTCCTTACCTGTAGCTGAGGGGCAGGGGAAAACCCTGGTTCTTTCCCTGGGAGAACCAGATGGTCTTCACACAGTCAATTACCAACTGAGTCAACTGGACATCGGGCTCCGTGCCAGCTGGACACAGGGTCTCTTGGATGAAGGTCCGGGCAGCCTCAAGCCAGGCCTGCTCCTGAGGAAAGTGAATCTAGTTAAAACATCTTCATAACCAACCTGCCCACCAATGAAATTTGGGGAATAAAGTAATAAAAAGAGAAATTAAGAGGGCACGTAAATAAAGAAGACAAGCCACAGAGTTGAGCCATTAGAAGAAACCTTAGGCGTGACGTAATTCAGTCACACCTCAGGTCTGACCTCCTTCTCCTGTAGGTGCCATGTGATAACCAATTGCCCTGCTGGAGCTATGCAGGTGGCCTTACACTGCTCTGTGACACCCCCATGGGTCTCCCCCAACACCTTGGACATACGTCTAAGATCCATGATCACCAGGTACAATATAGTGGTATCCCATCTTACGTGGGGTCTGGTTCTAAAGCCAGCAAGTTGAGAAATACTCAAAATCACCCTTGAAAAAATTCCTTTCTGTTGCTCACAAAGAATATGACAAGGGGGGGGCGGGGCGCCTGGGTGGCTCAGTCAGTTAAGCGTCCCACCTCGGCTCAGGTCATGATCTCGAGATTCGGGAGTTCAAGCTCTGAGTCGGGCTCTGTGCTGACAGCTTGGAGCCTGGAGCCTACTTCAGATTCTGTCTCCCTCTCTCTCTGCCCCTCCCCACTCTGTCTCTGTGTCTCTCTCTCAAGGGTAAACATTTAAAAAAAAAAAAATGACACGGTATCATACGGTAACAAGTATATTTAAACATACCGCATTATAAGCAGTGTATAAAAAGGACACAATATATTTTTTTTTAATTTTTTTTTTTAACATTTATTTATTTTTGAGACAGAGAGGGCATGACGGGGAGGGTCAGAGAGAGGAGCATTGGCTGAGCTCGAAAACAGGCTCCAGGCTCTGAGCTGTCAGCACAGAGCCGACACGCGGGCTTGAACTCACGGTGGCAGATCATGACCTGGCTTGAAATAGGTCGGACGCTCAACCGACTGAGCCACCCAGGTGCCCCAGGACACAATATAATTAAAAAAAATTTTTTAATATTTATTTTTCAGGGAGAGAGACAGAGACAGAGCATGAGCAGGGGAGGGGCAGAGAGCGAGGGAGACAGAATCAGAAGGAGGCTCCAGTCTTTGAGCTGTCAGCACAGAGCCCGACGTGGGGCTTGAACTCACAAGCTGTGAGATCATGACCTGAGCCAAAGTCGGATGCTAAACCAACTGAGCCATCAAGCGCTCCTAATTTTTAATCATTTATTTTTTTTCAGTCAAGTATATACACGTGAGTTCCCATAAGCTAAATCAACGTTAAGATATAATCCCACTGGATTTGTTTTCTGCTCTGTCTTTTCAGCTCAGATGTAGGCTTCCTAAGGAGCACATGAACCACTTTATATACCTACCACACATTCTGGACACACAGTTGTCTGTCTATAGATAGCTCTAGAAAAGGGGACCAGTTTGGCCTACTTCCAATGCTAGTTTCCTTCGTTTTAAAATTCTGACAGAGTTCAAAAGTACTGAGGGGCAGGACCTTTATTCCAATCCCCAGTGATAATTCTAAACCATCACAGCTCGATCCCTGTTCCTCCAGTGCTCTTCTATTAACCTTCTGGTCAATCCTCCACATTCAGTCAATCTTTAGCAGCCTGAGAAACCAGTCTTCACGTTCTAGTGACTTCAGTGTTCTTGTAAATAGCCCTACCACTAAACCTCACCTTCACTCCACCTTCGCTAAACACTGTCACTCATGGCCACGGATATCAAAATTGGGGCACCTAGGGGCGCTGGGGTGACTCAGCTGGTTGAGCGTCTGACTCTTCATTTTGGCTCAAGTCATGATCCCAGGGTTGTGGGATTGAGTCCAGCGTCAGGCTCTGCGCTGACAGTACGGAGCATGCTTGGGATTCTCTCTCTTTAAAATAAAATGTAAGGGGCACCTGGGTGGCTCAGTCGGTTAAGCGTCCGACTTCAGCTCAGGTCACGATCTCGCGGTCTGTGGGTTCGAGCCCCATGTCGGGCTCCGGGCTGATGGCTCAGAGCCTGGAGCCTATTTCCAATTCTGCGTCTCCCTCTCTCTCTCTGCCCCTCCCCCATTCATGCTCTCTCTCTGTCTCAAAAATAAATAAACGTTAAGAAAAATTTTCTTTTAATAAAATGTAAAAAAAAAAAAAAAAAAAAAAAATTGAGGCACCTGGCTGGCTCAGTTGGTAAAGCAGGTGACTCTTGATTGTGAGTTGGAGCCCCCACGTTGGGTGTAGAGACTGCTTAAAAATAAAGTCTTTAATGGGGCGCCTGGGTGGCTCAGTAGGTTGAGCGGCTGACTTCAGCTCAGGTCATGATCTCGCGGTCTGTGAGTTCGAGTCCCACGTCGGGCTCTGTGCTGGCAGCTCAGAGCCTGAAGCCTGTTTCAGATTCTGTGTCTCCCTCTCTCTGACCCTCCCCCATTCATGCTCTGTCTCTCTCTGTCTCAAAAAGAAATAAACGTTAAAAAAAAATTAAAAAAAAAAATAAAGTCTTTAAGAGGCACCTGTGTCGCTTCATCTGTTAAGCTTCTGACTTCAGCTCAAGTCATGATCTCATGGTTCGTGAGCTCGAGCCTCACATCA